GGGCTTGGGTTCTGAAGTTGCATTTTGCTCCTTCTTGTCATTTTGTGTAGCACTGTCTTCTGACCTTTGTTGTAGATTTTCGTTATAGTTATAACATTAGCAAGTACTGAAGTTCAGGTGCAGATCTGGCCTGGGCTAGGGCTGCATCTGGGGGTTCCTGGAACACGGCAGAAATTCCTTCTTGGAGAGTGTGGTGGGGGAGGTCCTGCGGAGTGGTGGGTGATGTCCCGAGGGGGTTGAAGAGGGTTTCACCCATGCTGTGCCTGGGCTGGGACCAGTAGTAGGTCCCACTGTCACAGGGTAGCTGGAAGTTCTGCCACATACTCACCAGGCCTGGGCTAGGACTATGTCTGGGGGTTCCTGGAACGCGACAGAAATTCCTACTCAGGCACCGTGGGTTTGTGCTGCAGAGTGGTGGGGGCTATACCGAGGGGGTGGAAGAGCGTCTCACCCATGTTGCACCTGGGCTGGGACCAGTAGTAGGTCCTGCTGGCTCAGGGTAGCTGGAAGCTGTTCCACACACTCACCAGGCCTGGGCTAGGACTTGGTCAGAACGTTTTGAACTCCAACTCTGTCTTATACTGCCTCCAGGATCTAGGTCAATCATTTCTCAGAACAGCCTTTGCTCACCTGGGAAACCAGATAAAGAGCCCTCTAATGTACATTCCACAGATGAAAGCACAGATCAAATAACTTAAGGGAAGCTCTTGGTAAACCAGCAAGTGTCAATAAATAGAAGGGTTAAATGTCACCACCCTCTGCTGAGTTAGCACCAGAGTTCCAGCTCCTGCCCCTCCCCTATGTTCCAATTATGCAGTGCAGGACCAGACACAGCTCTGGTTTGATGCAGTAAATGGAGGAGCCACACAAAATCTTCAAGCTTGGACAGAATGGGCCTCCCTAGGGCTCTTCCAGAATTGGACATCAGCAATGGCCAGCTGTGTGAGAACTGCCTCCAACTCAGGCCCATCCTCTGGGAAGTGCTCAGAGAAGGATCTGATGAGTCCAGTTTCTAAGGCCTCATACTCAAGAAGCTGCACTTCTGAACCTTCCAGACAAGTGTTGAGCTGTACAATGAGCTTCCGGGATTCCTTGCACTGCAGCACTGTATCCCTGAGGGTGAGGAAGCACTCAGGGGGAGTGTCAGTGACTGATGCATACCCTTCATACAGGGCCCACAAGCTGACCACATCCCCTGCAGATTGCATTACCTGTAGCCTCCATAGGAACCACTCCAGGGCGGGCCTGCCCACCAACTAGATCTTGTTGGGATCAAGATCTGGACATCTGGGAGCCCATTGGATCCTGTGGTGAGAGCAACTGTAACAAGCCCCTTGCCAGCCTCCAGCAAAATCCTCAAGGTCACAAAGCCAGCCTGAATGTGAGCCTGTCACCAGGTGGAGGCCTCTAAGGTATAGAACTCAAGAGCCAGCAGCCCTGCCCAAACCATTTTGAGCCAGTTCACATAGATCACATCTTCTGCACCAGCTCCCTCAAAGCCAAAGATCTCCAGCACTTGAGGACTGAGGTACAGGTATAGACCCACACTCCTGGTGCAACACTCTTCATAACTTGAGGCAATGGTGCTGAATTTGCTGTCCCACATCTCCCCACTCCATTACCAGCTCTGAATCTGCTCTCCAGTCTCTGGGTTGATCACTGTCTCTGGGGCAAAGCTGAACACTCCTTTCTCATCCTGTGCAGAGCTTGCTGCTGCCATGAACCAGTAGCTCATGAACGCCCACCTGCAGGTAGAAGGAGGGCCCCTTCCAATGGGTATTCAGGTCTTTGTCCTCCTCCTCCAGAAATGTCAGCTTCTTCCCACTGCATGGTATAGGTAACTGCTAGCACATTCCCCCATGACACATTCTTAAATCCTTCTGTTTGCCACAGGTTATCATAGTTGGGGATGTTGATGCCAGCAAGAATGCCAGAGCTTGTGAAGGTGAGGACATCCAAGTTCCTCATCCAAAGTTTGGGTGAGGAACTTGCCCTTCTTGAAGGCCAGGGACCAGGGCAGTTCCTTCAGAAGCTGTTCTGCACTTGCTACCAGTTGCTCAAATTTTGCACTCATGGCCTTGTTAACCATGGGCAAAAAGCCTTCAAACTCTCCTTGGGAACCAAACGGATCATGGTAGATCTCAAGGAACCTGATGTAACTCTCCACAATGGAGTCTTTGTCCTGGATCCAGAAGTGGGAGCCCCTCTTGTGGGCCTTGATGGAGCCCTAGGTGTAGCTCTCCACATACTGGGCCAACATCTGCTCCTGGTAACTGTTCACCACGTAAGCCTTCACTTTTGCCAAGTATTCTACCACCTTCTGGAGGATGGGAGCATAGTCCCCCCAGGTCACATGGAAATAGTTCCCTTGAAAGTCGTAGCTCTTCAGCTTGGAAGTCACTTCAGAGACTAGAAGGGTGTCTGCACTGAGTACAGAAACCAGCTGCACCTGGTAACTGGCCTTCCCTTGCTGTTTCACTTCCTTGAAGAGATGTGTGTTGTAGGCACTGAGATTCTGGAGGTCCAGAAAATCTTGAGTGAGTTTGGCATCTTCCATGGTGCAATCCCCAGAGAAATAGGTGGTGATTCCCTCTTTCCCTAGCCAGAGGTGCCGAAGCTTGGGCTCCAGAGAAAACAAGCTCTCCGCAGGTCGGCAAGAGGACCCTCACTTCTTCTGGTCACTACTGCATGGCCTTGCATCCCAGCATCACATGTTCCAGCTTCTCCTTGGGCAGGTTGGGAACAAACCTGGTGTCGCCAAAGGACTTGTAGTTGCCCATATTGGAGTAGACCCCTGCAGCATAGACCAGAAATGACTGACACTCCTCCTCTGTGAGCCCTCAGTCAGAGCATGCTAGTGCAGTTGGTTAAGGTTTTAGGCAAGAAAGAGGTGGCTGAGCAAGGCATAGATGTAGTGGGCCTCAGAGGAGGTCTCTGCAGCAGCACAACCAGGTCTCCATACTGGTGGCCCAGGACAGGTAGTGGACATAAAGTCTCTCTGTGGGTAACAGCAGGCAGAAGGCCTCACGGCAGTCCAGGATAAACACAACAGTGTCTTTGCGTAGCATGCACTGGGTATCCGCCATAGGCTCCACAGCTGCTGCTCCATTTGCAAACTCACTCCTATCATAACTTTTAAACTCTCAGTTAAAATGAAAAGGTACCTTCTGTAGCAGCCTTTGTTCCCCTGTGCTTCATAAGTAACATTAAAACAACAAGTTATCCCAGCTATGTGAAAATATCTGCCCATTGCATTCACAGAGATACTTTGTACTATACAATCAGAGAAAGTTGGATCGTTATCTCAAGAAAATGCTGCCTCATCTGAAATTTGAATTTCAACATAGTTTATCTAAGGCACTTTATCTCTGGCCCACATGAGCATATACAGACATTTTATTAAAATATCAACCTTCAGGTAGGTGCCTAAAAAGAAAGCCTTTTTACAAATGATGAATGAACTCTGAAATTGGCAAGTTGACATCCTTTTCAAAATGATGGGAATGTTTATTGATAAAAATAAATTTAGTAATTTTTTATAAGATCCTTCTTCTGAATTGAGTAGTAAGAAGCCATCACTGATACTTAAAGTTATGTAGTGATTAGAAATTATGTTGGCCAGCAAATAAATCATTAACCTGTAATTCCACTGACACGATAACAATGAGACCAAATGATTTGGTTTCAAGTACTCTTTGTTGAAGCTGATTTTAGACAATGAAAAATGCATTTCTGAATGTACCCACTGCAAACATAACTAAAATGGCTAACACTATTTCTGTTTTCTCTAAGATGTAAACATTATCTTAATACATCTTTCTTCATAAGATACATTTTCCATCACAGGGTAAAACAATACTGGAAAGATTAATTACTCTTAAATATTTCAATTGAACACTCAAAAGTGAAGTGTTTTTGCCAGTGCAGAGAATATATCCACAAAATATCTGCCCCATATCTGAAGCAGTCTGGTCCACGCTGTTCTCCTCACAGTTGCAAACATCACACATGCCACGTTAACAGAACTGCCCCATTGATACAGAAGGAATGTTCTAGCTACATTTTAAATGCTATCTATATACTATCTTTTAAAGTTCAATAAAACCAGCTGGGAATTTTTAAACATATAAAACATTCATTGGAAGGCAGGATCTTGTTTACCAATAATATTTGGTGATAAAGGAAAGTATGGCATTCACAGGCTTTTAGCTTTATGCAAAAACTTGGGTAAAATCAGATAGCATAAAAACATGTACCACTAATAATAGAAACCACCATGTTTAGCAATTTAAATATGTGATATTGTGACAGTGAGCTTTAGGTAAGAATATATTGTTAGCAGGCTTTCTTCTCTATGACTGAACACAATTTGCTATTCCTAATATACATTAGAATTCTTTATCAAGATTCCTGTGGAGTTGTACTTATTTAATTTCCATATTAACTGCAGTCATCACTACTGTGTCCAAGCCCAGAGGATGAACTTTCTGAACAAAAAAGGGGGATACAAATGAAGGATCATTTTGTATCTGTTTTATTCAAAATAGTTAGAATAGATATACAGCTACTTTGTCTTAACTCAATGAATAGAAAGATTTGTTCTAATAGTGTTTTGGACAGGATATCATGTCTATATCTTGTACTATGAATAATCACTAAGAAGACAACAATATGCAATGTATTAATTATTGAAACTGTCCTACTATTCAGTTTTGAAACTGTCTCATTGCTATTTGTCTCTCAATAAAAGTTTTTCAAAAAGAGTAAGCAAAAAGTTCAAAAGTTTAAAATTTTGACTAGAGGAGAGCAGTAAACTTTCCTAGTTAAGAAATGTTTTGGGGGGCCAGAGAGATGACTTAGTTAAATAAGCACTTGGCTGGCAAGTGCAAGGGCCTGAGTTCAATCCCCGGTTCCACCAAAAAAAAAAAAAAAGAAAGAAAGAAAGAAAGAAAGAAAGAAAGAAAAAAGAAAAAAAGAAAAGAAAAGAGAACCAAATGTTTTGAACAGTAAAAGGTTCTTTTTCTACTCCCAAAGCCTGTAACTCAAGTATTTTGTGTAATGATGATTTATTTAATGATTAATACAGGCAATGTGATTCTCAAAAAAAAAAAAACTTTCTGAATACAATCTACATCATTTTCTTTCTTCTTCGGGGAAGTGTCTATTTATTCAGGCAAAATTGTAAATGGCTTCTTCTGCTGAGTATTTGGTCTGCCCAGAAAAACATGCCTGAATGCCCTCGGAGTACAGGTGGCTCTGCAGGAAGAGGTGAAGGCTGCAGTCAGAAAGCAAAACTGTGTTCCTTAATATTTCTCTGAGGAAATCTTCCAAACCCCGGTGACGCTGATCAACCTGCTGATGATTGTTCATGTTGAAAACTAGGTTTTTAGGTGGAAGTTCCGGCAGTTGCACCAGCAGCGCGTTACTCTGGAGTCTCTTTCTCAACCCCACAAATTCTCTGTATCTTCTTCCTACACGGGATGTTTTCGTTGTAAAGCACGTGCTCTTAGTATGAATACATATCTCACAGTCCTTGCCAAAAGTCTTCTTTCTGGATCCTCGGATCTGGGAACCAGACACTTACAAACTCCTCTTTCTTGTTGTTCAGGAAACGTCTTCAGCACAGGATCCAATCAATCCGCAGCTCCTAGGGTCAGGCAAGCACCAGAGAGGCGGGAGGTCCCACAGCAAGCAGCAGACTCTGCTGACTTAAAGGCGCTCAGCTGCAGTGGTGAGGCCTAGGAGGGCATTCCAGTGCAGCCCAACACTCCCCGCGCCCACGCAGCGCATGGTCCTTCCCCGCAGTCCTAACTTTTTTTGATGTTATTTATAGCCTTTTATTAATCAAGGTCACACACAATTGCCAGCATGTCTGAAATAGGCTTTTCAATATTTTTATATATAATTATTTACAGTATCTTATAATCCTTGTATTTTGCTGGTATCAATTGTCAGGTCTTTTTACACATTTGAGTTTGTATTTCTTACACTCTTCTTTGTTCTTTTGAGTGTAGCTCCAAGTTGATAAAAACAATTTTGTTTCATTTTCCTTTGTGTGTTGTTTCAATTTTGTTTTTCGACTGTGATTTTTACTCTTTTCCTTTTCCTCATTTTGGGTTTGCTTTGTTTTTTATTCTTCTAGTTACCTGAGGTACTTTATTTGACTGATTGTTTGGAATCTTTCTTTTCAATTTAAACATTTATTGCTATACATTCCCATCCTAGTATTACTTTTACAGTTTTGGTTTGGATATGCTGTGTCATCCACTTTCATTTTATTCAAAAGTTTATTAATCCACTGTGTTCTAATTAGCATGCAATTCTTACAGATATTTGTGAGTCACCATAGCATATTTTGACATGTGTGCACAATGCATAATGATTAACCAGGGTAATTGGCATTTGTGTCATCTTAAACATTTATTGTTACTTCATGTTCAGTATCTTTTTTATATATTTTTACTTATTTATTTTAATTTCTTAATCTTTTATTTATTTATTTGGTACAGAGTCTCCTTACATAGCTCAGACTTGTAGAGATCCTCCTGTCTCACCCTCCCCAGTGCTGGGATTACACGCATGCACCACCACGCCCAGTTTTCATGACCAGTATGGCTCACAGGGTTCCGGGGATTGAACCCAGGTCCTTATACTTTCCTGGCAAGCACTTAGACCATGGAGCTATCTCCCAGACCCCTTACTTTTTTATTTTAAGAAAGGGTATCACTATGCAGTTTGGGATGGCCTTGTGCTCACTTTTGTAGCCCCTAAGATGGTCTCCAACTCCCAGTGATCCTCCTGTCTCTATCTCACAGAATAGTGGAATTACTGGCATGTGCCACCACACCCAGTTCCAGGCCAGCCTAGGGTTACAGAGCCTCCATTGTGAGGCCAAGAATCTAACTCAAGACCTTGATCTTGCTGGGTAGGTGCTTATGCCTCTGAGCTCTCTCTCCAGCCCCTGTGTTTAGAATCTTAATTCCTCTCTTCTGGCTTTTAAAATATATAAGACACACTCACCTCTCTCAATTGTCCAACACTACAACTTTTTCCTTCTACCTAAGCATAGTTTGCCATTCACTATCCCATAACCCATTATTCTCACTATTCTCTACTTTCCTTTCCCTCTATTTTAACCTATAATTCTATAGTATTAAAATTTTGTTTATACATATGCATCAAAATACAAAGTACTTATCTTTCTGTGCCTGGCTTATTTCATTCAATGTACCATCTTCTGTTCCATCCCTGTTGCAGCAGGTAACAGAATTTTATTCTGATTTCAGCCGAAAAACAAGTAGACATATAAAATCTTAAAAGATCAGTGTTGAGTAATGAAAATGAAGTAGCACTAAAACTCTCAAAGATTCCATATTCATAGCAGCACAACTTGTGATAGCTACATCTTAGTCATAGTAGACATGTCCACCAATAGGTGAATGGACTGTATATGAGACATAGACTGCATAGAAACTTACTAACATGAAAATGCTAGTGCTGGTGAGCTGGACAGTAATTCAACAGAATGTCTAGTGGTGGCAGAATGGACAATTCACAGTTATTTTCTCCCATCCTCTCTTCTGCGCCTACTTATCACTGGAAACTATATAAACATTAGCTTGTATGAGTTGATTGCATGATCAACCTTTCAAGGAACAGTTATCATAGCATACAGGCAAGGAATGAGATTATCTTTAAAGATAATAATAGTTTTCCATGCACTTCAGGTAATATTTATACAGTCTTCTCTGGGCATAGTTCCACTGTTCCCTGGACGTGGGGAAACAAAAGGATATCTTATGAACATGACAAAGAATAACCATGTCATGTAACACAAAGGTCAATCCAGTTGGGGTTCTTCAAACTTCCTGGATCTTGCCATATATAACTCTTCCAAGATTTCAAAAGTTTTCAGCAGTTATTTCACTGAGAAGCTTTTCTATTTCATTTCCCTTTCCCTCATTCCTTGAACACGCAACAGTCAAATGTTTTCTTTTGCCTTGATGGTGTCGCATAGTCTTACAGATTCTTTTTGTGTTATTTAAGAGAAAATGTCTTTGAGATCAGAAATTCTGCTGCTCAGGTTTTCTTCTATATTGTTATTTCCTTTGAGTTCAGATCTATAATTTCTCAGATCTATATCTTGACTAAATTTTTATTCAGAGAACAAATTGTTTTCCTGCTTTAGTTGAAATATTTGCATTCACTTTTGTGAATTTCTCATCAAATTATTTTTATAGTCTTCAATTTATTGCTTTACTTCCATTTTTTTGATTTTTTGATTATTCTTTGCAGAAGAAGGCAACATATTACCTTGCAGTTCAAATATCTCATGTTCTGACTCTGAGTGTTTGGTAATCTGGTGGGTCATGTGCTCCTACTGATTTTATAGAAGCTTTTAAGTTAAAGACTTGCCTAGAGATGCTTCCCGAGTCATCAGTTGTAAAAGCTAAAATGGCTTTGGAGCAGCTAAATCACATTTCACATGAAGTTTCTTCAGCCTTAAAAACACTGATGATGCCTTTAGGTATCCCAGTCTGATGTTGCTCTGTGAGTTAAGATTACATTTTTTAAATCGGAGAACTTTGCTGTGACTCTGAGCGTGATAGCTCGATTGTTTGGGTGGTGTGTGAGAAATACCCAAGGCCTATGCAGGGACATGACTGTGCTTGCAGGCCCAGTTTTATGCTACACATCTTGCCCAGTAATGGAGTTTCAGTTTCCTAGTGCAAGAGGGGGGCCTGGCCACAGAAATTTATAGGGCAGTGGCAATGAATTGGGAGGTGCCTGATAGAGATTTTAGAGTCCACTCATTTGAAATTTGGGTGGTAGCCACTGGGTTGCTTCACAGAATCCCTAGCAGGAAAATTTTCAGGAAAGTGACATTGTGGAGTCCAGGTAGGATAAGGCACAATGTGAAATAAGATTTTTCTACAGTGCAATTAAGCAGTATGCTTTCTTTGAAGATCCCAAAACTGTCTCAAGCCTTGCGAGGGTTGCAAGCTTCTGTATCAGAAAATATTCACATAATTGTGACATCAGTAGATTCTTCTATGTGCCTCCTGCCTACACTTTCCCCACTGCAAAGGAAGTTCTTGGTTCAGGATTGATCTTACTTGGAGAAATAAGTCAGTAGAAAATGGATACTTCATTCTTTTCTTTATACAACCATTGTAAGTTTCTATGCTTCTGTTCTTGGCAATGTTGCTCTAATTACTTCACTGTACTCAAGCATTCTGCCACAAATACACCAATGAAATAGGCATTATTTTTTTCTTTGCTTTGACCTGTGTGTGTGTGTGTGTGTGTGTGTGTGCGTTTGTGCAAGTGTGTGTGTGTGTGTGTGTGTAGAAGCAAAGCACAATGGTAACTTTTTATCAACTATCTTGCTCCTCTAAAATACTTCATGGCATTGGATTTTACAATTACTTTATTCAAGTGACATTATTTCATTTACCACATGATAACAAAAACACAAGGAAAAAAACTAAGAATAATTGATTGGCAAACAAAAGCAAGCAATCTAATTCCATAATAGCCAAAGGATTTGAACAAATGCTTCTCCAATAATGTACACAAATGCCTGATAGCACATCAAATAATGGCCAACATCATTACACATACTATTAGAAATTTAAATCAAAACAATGGTTACTTAATACCTAACAAGATGGGTATGATTTTTAAACAGAAAAAAATATCGGCAAGGCTGAAGAAAAACTAAACACTTGTGTATTACTGGTGGTGATAAAAAGTAGTATAGTTGCTATGAAAACATTTTGGTATATTTCCTAGACAGTATAAAACACAAATGTCATATGGTCTGACTGTGTACCCACAAGAACTGAAATCAGACATTCAAATAGATGCCCAGACACCAAAGCTTGTAACAGTATTGTTTCCAACAGCAAATGGTGAAAAGAGCCAGCTATGGTTTGGGTATAGATTGTGAGTTCAGCAAATACCTAGGTGATTAGAGGCTCATTCCCAGATGGAGCTATTGGGTGGTGGAATCTTCAAGAAAATGTACCTGATAGAAAGCACTCAAACCACTGGGGAAATAGAATAGTTCACGCACAGCCTCTTAATATTTCTTCAGATAGAGTTGTTATGATATGGGAAAAACCTGATTCATTGTCCCCTCTTTGTTTTCTTGCGTGATTCTCCCTCTTCATGATTCCACTATCTACTCTGTATGTGGGGCCTGAAACTGGAGACTATGCTGTTTGGGGTTTCAGCCTCCTGCCCTGTAAAAGAAAGTCTCACTCCTATGGAGTGAGTCTTGTTCTGCTAACAAAGTCTAATAACCCAAGTATCCATTGACAGATGAATAAACTATAATAAATACATGCAATTTTATAAATAACTAATCTTAACCATTATGTAACACAAAAATGTGTTAATAAAAATAACAACTAATTTTTTTAAAGAAGGAAAAATTTTGACACATGCCACAATGTGAGTGAGCCTTGAAAAAATTATGTTAAGTGAAATCAGTCAGACAGAAAATGCTAAGTATTATATGATTACACCTGTATGCTCTACTTCGAACAGATAAATTAATGTAAATAGTTCAATAGATATTATAAAGTGTACAGAGTGATAAGGATAGGGAAATATCATTTGCTGAAAGGAGTTCTCTGTGTGTTATTTTCCACACTGTTCCTACCTCACCAAGAGGCTTGATGGATGGTTATATATCATAAATAAACTATATGGGACAAATTATAGTATTTCTTCTCATTTATTAAACACATGATTTTTAAAATTTTTCTGAACATGCAAAATAAAGATAATTGCCCAACATTGCAAATGTACTTAATGCCACTAAATTGCACATTCAAGATGCTTTAATGCTAGGCTTTATGCTATGTATATTTTATGTTATGCTGCTTTTAAAGGTATTTCCCTATACTGCATAACCACCCATATCTTGGAGTATATCATGGAGTCCACTGGAGGACTTGTTTCAGATATATACATGGTTTTAGAAACTTCTAAGTGGTTACTTAACTTCATTTTCAAAGAATAAAAGCATTGTGATCAAGGATGTTATCTGTGTTATAAGAAACTGTCACCCTCTGCTCCTCCTAATCCATTCCTGGACCTTCACCTCTGTACCTTCCACCTCCTCCTCATTTCCCTATGACTTTCTCTACCTCTCACTAGAGCTACTCTAATTCCTCTTAAATGTTTTTCTTTCCATTCAATGAACACACCACTGTTCACTTGTGAGTGTTTCCCCTTTTCTGGCCCATCACTGTCATTCCCACAGTAGACTTCCTTGAACACTAACCACTACAAGATCACTGTGTCACTTCCTGAATCCAAAGGAAAAAGTTTTAAGGTTCCAATGTGCAGGGGATAGCTTGTACCACCTGCCTGAAGTTGATCATTAACCCAGCACTTACATAAAGAAGTGGCCATCCTTGGGATGGGGACTGTACCACCTGCAGCTATGGCCAGCACAGTAAGCCCCAGTACAACAGCTGGAACCCCTGAGCTGCCTGCACTGTCAGAGCGCATTCAAAATGCTGCTGACATCTCTGTCATTGTCATCTACTTTTTGGCGGTGATTGCTGTTGGTCTATGGGTATGTAAGATTCCAGGGAAGTTTCTGGTTGGGCTCCAGGGTTAGGGTAATGTGCCTTAGGGTGGGAGAAATGTAGCCTGACAAATGAGGCAACACTAACACTTTCCTAATGTCTGAATCATTATCTTCCTTATGTCATAAGTAACATTTATACGGATGGGGAGATAACTCAGTGGTCTAAGTGCCTATCTGGCAAGTGCAAGAACTTGAGTTTGATCCCTGGTACTGCATGTTGTGTGAACATGTTGAGTCACCTTAAGACCAGGTGTAGTGGCACACACCTGTAATCCCAGCCCTATGGAGACTGAGACAGAAGGATCACTGCAAGTCTGAACTGCATAGTGAGACCCTGTATCCAATAAATAAGTGAATAAAATATTAAAAATAATGTTTATCATGAGTGTATTTATTCCCCTAGCAACCCCATAGGACTGGGACCTACAAACCTGTGCTACCAGGCACCTCCACCATCTGCCACAATGTCAAAAAAATATTTTTATTATCTCATTTTGTTTAATTTCCTTTGTGTTTATTGATTTTCTAACCTATAAGTTAAACACAATTTGTATACAATTTATTTTTCTCTTTTAGCAATAAATTCAAGGCTGCAAATTTTCACCTACGTACTGTACTAATGATATCACACATTGTTCTACAAATGAAAGTAAATAGCAGTTTTGCAGAATATGATCCTTGAAGTATCTTTAGCTCTAAATGTTTAAGGAAACATGTTTTGAAATCCATCAAAAATTGATGTTGCATTGCAATTTTTAGAAAATATTATTTCTATAGGCGTGCTGGAAAGTCACCATTGTTAGCATGCCAGCTGGAGAGTCATTAGCATCTACAGTGTCTTGGGTGTGACTGCTATTGTTTTACCCCCCACTACTACCACCTCTTATGGTAGTATGTCTTATGTCTTTCTGCTCAGGCAATGCTGAGGACCAACCGAAGCAGTGTTGGAGGCTTCTTCCTGGCTGGTCGAGATATGGTCTGGTGGACAGTAAGTTGCTCAAAATAAATTGTGCGTGTCTGTGTGTGTGTTTAAGTGTAAGTGTAGAAAGTAATAGGGGTTTGATGATGCCTGCTGTATACTCCTTGTCTCTTTATAGATGGTTTTTTCCTGATAGTTTTTAAGAGCAGAATATTTACTGGGAGAAAGAAAGCTTCTGTCCAAGAGAGCAACAGAAGGAGGACCTGGGTACATTGCCCAAGACCTAAATCTTTTCTTTGAGGTACCGGGGATTGAACTCAGGACCTTGCACTTGCCAGGCAAGTGCTTATTCTACTGAGCCATCTCCCCGGCCCTAAGACCTAAATTGTTAATGAGAGGCTTTAACTAGGCTGCGATCTGATTCAAAAAACATACAATCATCATTTGAAAGCAAATTTATTCTTTCATTTGAGTACCTTCAGTACTACTAACTGTTAATGCTAACTGTCCTACTAACCTGTTTTGAAACTTCTCAATGCTATTTCTTTCTCAACAAAATGAATATAGAATAATGATTATTATTATTATTGTTGTTGTTGTTGTTGTTGTTGCAGGTTTTCACTTTTGAACATATTAGCATTTGTTTCATGTTCAAACCACTATAGACACTTAACAATTTAAAACATTCTTCCACTATGGTCCACAAACACATGACAATACACTGGATTTTGCCCTTAGGACATAGTATGTTACTGTTGCTCTAAGGTGCAGCAATTGACACATCTCAACATCTGATTTCAAACAGTCTGACTTGGATATGTGAACTCTAACCCTGGTGTGTTCTCTTGCACTGTAGATGGGTGCCTCGATCTTCGCCAGTAATATTGGCAGTAGCCACTTTGTGGGCATAGCTGGGACAGCAGCCGCCTCTGGGATTGCCATTGGAGCAGTTGAATGGAATGTAAGTGATAGCACAGAATTTTTCTTTAACTCAAGAAAATATCAATACACCTCAAGCAAACTTATATCCAAGGTTTTTGTGTACTCTGGATAGACTGTTCTTGTTTTTGGTTTGGTTTTTAGTTTTCTTTATCCTAGACCTGCAGTACCTCTATAGCCCCATTCTGCCAGCACCATTCCAGATATATGGCTAATCACCTCTGAACTTTTGCTCAAGTGGCTCTAACCACCTGTATGATCATTTATTTATGATTAAATCCTTAATTTTACTTTTCCTCTTTGACCATTAAAGCTTTTGAATTTATCATTCCTCCAAGAACAGTATGTATCCAGTCATATACTAGACAAATGAAATTTTTAAATCTAAAAGCAATGGTCCCTGCTTTTGAGATCTTTAGTTTTTGGTGGAAGAAGAATACATACAGCCACTAGAGTTTGGAAAAACAGGAAAATAGAACCATCTACAATGTATTAACAGATCAAGTAGGAGAAAAATCGAGAATAGATGGGGTATGGCACATGTCAACTTGCTATACTGATGCCAGAAGGATGAGTAGAAACTGTTCAAGAAGAATCTAATGTATTTACACAATGGTGAGTGATTTGTGAGATACTAGTTAGAACCTGCTAGAATTAGTGATTAATTACTAATTAATTGCCCTATTTTCATTTCATAGAAACTGTGTCCCCTTAATCAGACCTTAAATTCTTTCAGGTTAAGGGCCAAATGCTCTATTCCATGCATTCCACACTGTCACCTGTCCCATAGCCAGGCATGTGATGATAATATCATAAATAGTTCTTAGGTAGTCTGAGTTGTTTCTGTTCTTTTTCATCTTGTCCTTTACAGCATTTTTGAGTATATGTATTTGCACAATGGTCAGAAGAAAATGCTTGTGTGGAAGAAAGCTGCACTGTTGTGGAAAAAAAATTGTTTTTTGAGAAACGGATTGAACTCAAGACCTTGCACTCGCCAGGGAAGCACTTATTCCATTGATTCATCTCCCCAGTCCCCTTGTTGTGAAAATTTAGATTGTTTATCTAAATTAGATTGCTTATCTAAAGTAAGTGATTTCAAGTTATCACAAACACCTTTGGCCCTTTTTCTAAGCTACTTTGTCTTTATTGGGTTATAACAAGCAACACCCACAGATTAAAGGAGGAAAGGCTTATCTTGGCCTACAATTTGTAGAGGTTTATGTGATAGTTTGCTGACTATAGCTCAGTGTGGCATGGAAGAGATGCTTGGCAGAGGAGGCTTGCTTATGGCCTGGCAGGGAAGCAAAGAGACACCAGGGGAGGAAGGAGGCTAGGCAGATCCTTCTAGGCCATAATGCCAACGACTCACCTCAAACCAGGCTTCACCTTCCAACCTTATATTTAGCTATAATATTCATTGGTGTAGTAATCCACTCTTGGTAATCATACCCTCATAATTCAGTCACCTCCCATAGTCCTACCAATGAGGTTTTAGAGAGACATCTAGACATAAACTGCAACAACCTCCCTCTTGAAGATTTTCTCTCTAATTTTATTTTACCAGTATCAATGACCCCCATATTCAACCATCCTCAAGATATCTCCTATGGTCAGAGTTTCATTTTGTTTTATTGATGCTCCTTATAGTCAGAATCAGAATGATTTATAGCCCAGCTGAATGTGGTTATCAAGTTGCAGATAACTACTCTTCTATTTTTAGCCCATGACATTCCTTAGTCTCTATGTTGCTCAATCTCAGTTCAATAAGAAAAATAACTATACTTTCAATATCTGCCTCCACTGACTTCTTGAGGAACATAAGTGATACATGCAAAACTATAAATATTTCATAGTAATATAACTTATTTTTCAACATTGTTATATGTGGAGAGACTTTGTAGACAATAGGAATACTCTTCTATCTCCAAGTATCTTTATGATGATTTTATCTATTTAAGAATAAAATTTTCACCCGCTGAAATTAAAAGAGAATGCCTTCACAGAGTAAATGTATGATCTTCTAGTAACCTGCCTGGACCTGACTGAACCTCTCATATTATGACCACATTTCACCACAAATCTTGTAGCACATTCTCAGCCTCTAAAAATAATAACCTCTATATCATAGGAACAAAAGAAAGGATTAATAGTTGTACAAGTATCGCAATACTTTGTTTTTTTGTTTTTTGTTTTGTACCCAACTTTACCTAACAAAAATAAAGACATTCATAAAATCTTTGGGATCTTTCAAACAGCATTATAACAATTAGGTGAAACAGACAAAAATCAGGAAGTAAACATCAGAGTTAAGCCACACAATCGAATAATTAAACAGGTACCTACAATGTTTAATGCAACAACAATGAAAAAAATATTGTTCTTATCATCATACCAAAATTTTTCCAACATAAGCCATTTTTTTCTTTTACTTTTGTTTTCTTGGTATTATAAATATAGCTGTATTAAGCATATAATTTTACAAATTCATATCATATTTCATTATCAAATCTAAATATGAACATTATTCTGATTTCATATTATTTGTATGTATTATATTTCTATATGGAGATGTTGCATATTTTTAAAATAATTTGTTGATAAACTTTACAAAAATTTTAAAGTTAGTTCTATAAACATTTAGTGGTATTTAAGATAATTTTGTTTTATTTTTTTCCAATAGTTTTATTGACAAATAGCAATGTGACAGTTTCAAATCAAATTAGCAGGACAGTTTCAATAATGAATAGGTTGCATACTGTTTTCTTAGTGAATTTTCACTGTACAAGATGAAAACATGATATCCTGTTTACAAACACTTTTAGAATAAATCTTTCCATTCATTGAATTAAGAGAATGTGGATGTATACCTATCCTATTTTAAATAAGCAGATACAAAATGGTCATTGATTTGTATCCCTTTTTTGTTTAGTTTTGTCATTTAAATATTATAGGTTCAGCAAGATATTCCAAAATACTCCAGTAGTCCATAATAGTAGTGGATTTTCCTTTTGACTGGTAATGTCAGAAGTTGTTGACTTGAGCCTTTTACAGCTCAGCATACTAATATGGCTTTACTTTTTATACCTCATTTTTACATTTTGCTGCTGGATGGTTGCATCCAAGATAAACCAAGACCTATATAACAAGAAATGTAACTTTTGTATCTGATAAGGTCGATCATATCCCCTCAGGATTTATCCTGACACTGTGTACTGCAGTTTGTAGATCCTTTGTCAGTGTCAGCCACGTGGATGAGTCATGGCCATTGCTTGACCAATTTTCTCTCTGTGAAAGCTTGAGAGAACGTTTTCTCTCCATGTGACTCTCCTTAGGTACATTATACATCACTGATCACTTTCCTCTGTGGTCCTATAATCTCCTTGATCAGAAAATTTGGGACACAACTGAGTTACATGATGTTACAGTACAAGTTCTCCTATGTCCTGCGTCTTCACTGACCTGGGAAGGCTACAGCCAAAATACTGGCTTTCCTTGCAGCCCTCCTTTTTCTCTAATTTTTGATCTGCAAACTTAGGTTGTTCACACACCAGAAGAGAAGCTTATTGTTACTACCCTACAACCTAGGTTGTTGAGCTTAATTTCACTATCTATCTGAATATCAAACATCATAGGCATAACATGAAACAGGTATTTTTCATCAAGTACTGATATATTAAACTTTAAGTCCCTACAGAATATGACAAAAAATTAAAGAATATTTTAAGAAATTGAAATAAACAATTACATATTTTTCCATACAAGTTTAGAAAACTAATGATATACAGCACTGAAGCACGACAGACCCACAACACCCCTTTTTCTGTGTCCTGCCTTCATTCACCACCCTCTTCCTTTTGCAAGCACCACGTGTTTAGAAGATCAGAATGACAGGCATTCCAAGTGTGACCCTTCTATTACATATTGTTTTCATCAGTGCAGTTGCTTAGTTCACAGGTATCAGCATATATAGTTAGGTCAGGTAAGAATCCTACCAATTACCTCCTAGTTTTGAAAACCTGCTGATGTTTCTCAGCATATTGCATTAGCCATCTTGTGCATACAATTGTATGCCTTTACCCCTATCATGTTTCCTAATTTCTTTCCTTGCTCTCTTCATTGTCTAATCCTCAAGGTCTCACTTTCTTTTTAATTGTGTTATACCTATTTATATTTCTTCCTTTGTGCTCTTATACTAGGGAGACTATGATATTTACACATGTGAGTCTGGTTTATTTCACTTTGAGTATATCTTCAAGTGGCATCCACTTAAATATAAATATATGCTTATGCTTCAAGTTTATCGTTCTTTGTAGCTGAATAATACTTGATTGTATAAAAATACCACATCTTCTTCATCCATTTCTCAGGTGATAGACATCATGGTTGTTTCCAAGATTTGACTATCACAAACTGTGCTGCTATAAACATAGGTACACATATATCACTATGATATGATGTTTTCAGATTTTCCGGGAAAATTCCCAGTAATGGAATAGCTGGTTTGAATGGGATTTCTAGTCCTGTTTTTTAAGGAGTTCCCATACTGCTTTCCATAAGGGATGATCAGTCTACATTCCCACCAGCAGTGGAGAAGGGTACCTATTTCCCCACAGCCTCTCCAACATTTGTTGTTGGGTGATTTCTTTATAATAGCCATTCTTTCCAGGATGAGATGATATTGCAGTGTTGTTTTAATTTGCATTTCACAGATGGCTAGTGATGTGGAGCATTTTTTCATATAT